AAATGCAAATTAAAACAACACTGAGATCCCATCTCACTCCAGAAAGAATGGCTATCTTCAAGAAATCAACCCATAACAAACGCTGGAGGGGCTGTGGGGAAAAAGGAACTCTTTTCACTATTAGTGGGAGTGTATACTGGTGCAACCACTGTAGAAATCAGTGTGCAGATTCCTCAGTAAACTAGGATTAGAGGTCTCATTCAACTCAGCTATTCCCCTCCTGGGTATTTTTCCAGAAGAACTGAAAATATCATACCACAGCAGTATATGTGTCCCTATGTTTATAGCAGCACAAATTGTAACAGCTAAATCTTGGAAACAACCCAAATGCCAATCAACTGAGGAATGGATAAAAAAGATGTGGTATTTTTATACAATGGAGTATTACTCAACTATAAAGCAAGACAAACCAGAGGTTTTATAGGTAAATGGATGTAACTAGAGACCATACTCATAAGTGAAATAAATCAGATTTACATGTGCAAACATCATATTTCCTCCCTACTATAAGAACCTGAAAGAGTAATAAAATCTGAAAGGTACAATAGATATTGTGAAAGGGAAAAGAAACTGCTTCAATAGGAAGGAGCAACTGGGATGAAAGAGGGGAGAGGAAAAAGAATGACGGAACAGGAAAAAAAAATGTACATGTACACACAGGATAGCTAGGATAATTGTACTACTATTATCTGTTGGGTTATTGAAAGGAGTTGCTAATGTTTAACTATTTGATCAGTCTTACACGCCTATATGTGGTTATATGTGCAACCATTTTGAAGATAACATTATGTAAGATAACAGCCATTGTTAATATCCTATCACCATGTTTTGAAATTCTGTATCATTTCTGTTGGTCTCTATTCTGTTTTGTTTATGTATTTGCTTTTGTTATTTTGGGTTTTTTCTTTTGTCTTTAAATTTATATGTGTATACAAGTATAACTGGGGTAAGTGTATTGCTGATGTCTGTGGTTTATTGAAAGGAACAATCAGTGCTTAAAATTGTCTTTTTTCTCTACCAATTTTGCATGCTTGCATCTGGTAACAAGAATGACTGATCTGAAAACAATAATATGCAGTATAAAAACCATTGTTGAACTCCTATCATCTTATATGGTGAAGCTCTGCATCATTTCCAATGTTTTTTATTACTTGTTACTGTGTTGGATTGTTTGATTAATCTTACATTCTTATGTCTGGTGGACTGAGCAATTTCATTGAAGATAACAGTATGTAGCAACCATTGTTAATTCCTGTCATTTTGTTTTGAGGTCATGTATCATTTTTGTTGCTTTTGTGTTATTTTGATTTTGTTTTCATTGTTGTTAGTTTTTTTAATCCTTAAAAAATGAAATCTATACCATTTATAATGGAATCAAAAGAATATATATATACACTGAGAAATTGCATGTGTACTAAAAACTGCTAAGCATGGCTGTAAGAAATTATAGATGACAAATGTGAATGAAACATGTCCCATGTTCATGGATTGGAAGACTTTCATAGTCTTCAAAAAATCACTTCTAAATAAAGCAGTCCACAGATTCAGCACAATGTTTCAAGATCTTCAGGACAGTTGTTGGCAAAAAGAAAAAAAATAAAACCCCTTTCTAAAATGTATGTGATGTGTCAAGTAACCCTGAATAACAAAAACGACTAAGAAATGTGAGGCTGGAGATTACACTTACTGACTCCAAACATATTACAAAGATATACTAAAAAGATGATGTGGTATTTCCATTACGACAGACATAGTGTCCAATAGAAAGATACAACAGACCACAGAAATAAGCTCTAACATGCACAGTCATGTGATTTTTTAAAAATTTTTTAAATTTTATTTTAAAGAGAGTAGTACATGAGAAACAAGCAAACAAAAAAATAGAGCAGTAGCAGCATAGCAGTATCATGAATATAAACAAATCAAAGCAAAAATATTCAAAGTGATACAGGGTCTCAAGACAAACCAATACAAATCAATAGTGGTTGTTACATTGAGTCATGTGGTTTTTGACAAGGTACTAAAAATGTTTAATTGAGAAAAGCAACTTCAAGTGGTGCTGAAAAAACTGGCTAGGTACATGCAAAAGGATATAGTTGGGTCCTTCAGACATCATGTACAAACCATGGATCAAAATAGATTAGAGTCCTAACCATAATATCTATGACTGGAAAACTTCTAGAAGAAAATAAGCGAAAAGATTCATAATATAGCATTTGGAAGAACTGCATGGCTATGTCTCAAAAGGCAGAGATGAATGGAACTGTATTAAAAACTTCTGCAAAGCCAATGAAACACGGAGTGGAGTGAAGAGTCACCCAGTAGAACTGCAACAATTATCTGCAAGTCACATATTTAATAAGGAGTTAATATTTGGAATGCATTGGAAATTCCTACAATTCAAATCAGGCAACTGAACAGAGCACAGATACCTCCATTGAAAAACAGGCGAAGGGCTGGAGCAGATGTTTTTCAATGATATACAACTGGCCACAAACACATGAAAAGATCTTCAGCAACAATAATCATTAGCGAAATTCAAGTCAAAGCCACAGTGGGGTACCATTTCACCCACTGCAAAAACTGCAGTTTTTCAAAACTCACAGCATACCGTGTGTTGGACATGAGATTGAGAATTTGGAGCCCTAATGCAGCATTGGTAAAATTGAAAAATGGTACAGCCACTAGGGAAAGAAGTACAGAGAATTCTTAAAAATTTGAAAAGCAATTACTGAATGACCCAGCAGTCACACAGGTGGGTAGACATCCGAAAGCACTGACAGGATTTTGAGGAGATAATTTCATACCCACTTTCACAGAAGCATTGTCCCCAGTAGGCAAGAGGCAGAAGCATCCCAGTGTTCACCATACACAAATGGGTTACCAGGATGCGTTACACACTTACAGTGTAACGTTAGTCAGTCCTAAGATGGAAGGAAATTCTCACCCATGCTCCAACACAGCTGGTCATTGACCTGGTGTTAAGGAATTTTGGGAGTTAGCAGAGGAAAAGTGCTGAGTCTGTGAATTTATATGTGAGAAAGGTAGAGCACGGGTTACCTGTGCCTGGAGAAGAGGTAGGCATGGAGTTATTGCTGAAGAGGAACAGAGGTTCAGTTGTGCAGAAATGAAGTTCTGGACACGGCGGTAGAGCAGTGTGAGTGTGTGTAACGAAACTGAGCAGTTTGCAGAGTGCTCAGTGTGGTAAAGTTGATGGTATAGGTTTGTATCACAAATGAAGAAATGAAATAGTGAGTCGTAAAAGAGCATAGATTAGGGAAAAAACCTGTCATATGCTCTTTGGATTTTAAGAAACTAATTCTCCATCGAAGTTCACCACCTAGCTAGAGCCATGCTGACGTATTTTGGCACCAATGATTAGATGATAATAGCTCAAATACGTTACTAGCCCATAGAATTTTACCGAGTACCTGCCTTAGGGTGTTGGCTTGCAAACACTGGCAAACTAAGCAACTTTGTCTTGTGATATAGTGGGTCAAATCTAAGGACACTGCACCCATGAGCTGTATCCCCATCCTCTTTAGTTTTCTCCGGAGCTGTGTCTTGCTGACTCGGCCTCCTGCATCAGCCTCCCTCACTGTTTTTGTCATTACAGCGAAAGGCACCAATCCCGACAATGAGCGGTGGAGTTGGCCCGAATCTGAAAGCGGGTTTGGCGTAAATGTCCTTAGTGTAAAGCTTGGTGGGGTTTTTTGTTTGTTTATTTTGCCTTTTCCTGTGGAGTTTTGAGTAATTATTGTTTCAACTAACGTGTGGCCAGTTTTCCTGATAATGCAAAATCAGGATTAATGCTCAGTGATACTAATTGATTCCTCCATGTACTATTACATTCTGCAGAATTAACATAATTCCACATTGATGGAATTTGTTTCCTATATCCCACATGCGATTAACATAGTTGAGATAAAGATATATTCTTTTTCAAATGGATGTAGTGACACAAATATTATATGTAATATATATGTACATGTATATATGTGTAAAAGACATGTATACATGTGTGTACATATGTGCACATATCTATGGTATATACATATGTACATATATCCCAGGACAGTGCCACCCATGCCAGCAGGGGGACAGATCTCCCCACGTGCAGAGGACAGCTTCCTGGTATTTGGCATGCAGCAGTCAGCTCTAAATGGATGCATGTGGAAGAAGCCAAGGGCCAGGTGAGGTTGGCCACAAGGTGGGGGACGATGGGGAGGTCCCTCTTAAGCTGCAGGTCCCGGGGTGAGCAGAAGACCTGGGCACCAAGAAACTGCACCATTCCTCCCCCACTCCTTCCTCTCTGTGCTGCAGCCTCAGGAGTGCATCCCTGCTCAGGAGGGTGTATGGTGACAGAGCACCATACTGTGACCAGCAGCAGGAGGCTGAGTCCAAGCTGGGAGCACCAGGGAGCCACGTGGTTCTTCCTGGGCCCCTACCTGGGGGCTGAGCACACGTCAGGTGCCAGGGTCTGATGGGCATCTCAAGCAGCGGCAGGGACACTGCACTGTACTGTAGGACTTGACAGCATCATGAAGAGTGGGCAGGGGCGAGCAGCCATCACCTCACGCCTGGAGTGAGCAAGAAGCACACTGCTCAAGCTCTCCTGCGTTAGGCACCAGAGACCCCAGCGCATCTGAGGTGGTCACGCCTACAGTCTCTAAGTGTCCTTATCTAGGATGCTCAGTGTGGGATTTCATTGATGTGTTGATATTGGATTCAGTGATGAGGGAAAAAGAAAGGTTCACTCTGAAGTTCAAGTCCTTCTGTCTGCACTGGGACACACACACTGGTTCCCATGACAAGGGCTCAGTGATCAGTCATCTGCTCAGTGTGTCACCAGAGGGTATGGGCTTAGGGTTTGCACTGCCCTTGAGTTATCATTTCTGTGGTGGAAAAGAACAGGCTATAGTCACCCTGTCAAGAGCCTGGGCTTTGACATACTTTCAAGAAGGATTGAAAGATTTTTGAAGGATGGATGAAAGAAGGAAAAAACCAAAATGAAGCTGTTCTTGTGACATGCAATGTGACACACAGGGCCCTTCCCTCCACCTGCAGAACCCCAGGTACCTGTCTCCCTCTAGCCAGCTCTCCACAGGGCTGCCCATCTCTGCCCCAGCCTCCGCAGGGCGTCCTTCACGTCCTTGTTCCGCAGACTGTAGATGAGGGGGTTGAGCATCGGGATGACCAAGGTGTAGAAGATGGAGACAAACTTGCTCTGCTCCATGGACTCCACAGCTCCTGGCTGTGCATAGATGACAAACAGGGTTCCATAAAACAGGCACACAGCAGTGAGGTGGGAGCCACAGGTGGAAAATACCTTTTGTCCCCTGGATCCTGAGTGCATCCTGAGGACGGTCACTGTGATGTAGCCATAGGACACAAGGACCGCTACTGTGGTGCTGACAATGATGAAGCCACAGAGGCCAAACAATAGAAGGTCATTGATTGATGTATCAGCACAAGCCAGCTGCAGCAGAGGGGACACGTCACAGAAGAAGTAGTTAATACGGTTGGAGCTGCAGAAGGGGAGCTGGAACGTGAGGCTGGTCTGCACGATGGAGTTGAGGCAGCCTCCACAGTAGGAACCCAGAACAAGACAGGCACACATCGTGGAGGACATGGTCATGGGGTAACGCAGGGGGCTGCAGATGGCCAAGAAGCGGTCATAGGCCATCACAGCCAAAAGGAAAACCTCTGTGGTACCAAACAGGGACAAAAAAAAAAACTGAGTAGCACAGCCTCCAAAACTGATGACCTTAGAGGAAGAGAAGAAGTCGGCCAGGGCTCTGGGGGCAAAAACAGACGAGTAGCAGAGGTCCAGGAAGGACAGGTTCTTGAGGAAGAAGTACATGGGGGAGTGCAGGCAGGCATCCAGGGTGATGACTACGATCATGGTGAGGTTGCCCATGATGGTCACCACATACAGGGCCAGGAACACGGCAAAGAGCAGGGCCTGTGTCTCCACACCTCCCCGGAACCCCTCCAGCACAAACTTCCGCCAGAGCACCACTGACAGGTTCCCATTTCCATGGAGCGTCATAGCCTCAGGCCTGACAAATATGCAGAGAGGATGATGGAGGCAGTGAAGGAAGGGAGGTCCCAGTCCCACACTCACACCTAAAATGGGCCAGAGAGAACCTTAGCAGCCAGGCTGCACCAGCTGTGCTGAGGTAGGGACTGGAAGGACAGCAGGACAGGAACGGTGTGTGGGACAGCAAAGAGGCCACCAGCTCTTCTGCTCTCCTTCCAGATGAGGCCTGAAATGGGACGTTGTCTCTCATTTACTGAAATCTGGAGTCTGTGCGGAGACCCTGCCGGGTAGGAGACTGAGTCGTGCTCTGGGGGATGCAATGAGTCCAGAGCTGGGGGTTTTCAATGAAGACACCAGTGCATCCCTGTGTCTGCTTCTCCCCAGCGGCCCTCCGGTCCCCAGGCGTGCAATTGGACAGGAGCGCCCGCCTCTTGGTTCCCGCCCCTTCTTCCCCCGTGTTTTCCTCACTCCCTCATGCACGCGTGGTGGTGGGCACCTCCTGCCCACCATGCCTGGAGTGCTGTGATCTCTGCCTGATACAGAGCAGGGTCCAGCTCTCCCTATGTTGAGCAGGGGTCTCTGTCTCTCCCCTGAAGGACTTAAACCTCAGCTCAGCAGCTGTGCTCTGGTTGTGGACCACAGTGGTGCTCAACCAGCCAGCATCCTGCCTCCTGGAGAACATCAGGGACTTCCTGCTGTGCCTACAAGTTGCACAGGTCATGGAGGGGCTGGTGAGAACCAGCAGGGCTGGTGCACCGCTCATCGGGGAGGGGCGGGAGCCCTACCCTGCAGGCTCTGCTGGTTCTGTTCCCTGCTCTGCTCCGAGTTGGGGCTGCAGGGAGCTTGCTCTTTCCCTTCAGGTGGCCGCACTGGTGGCCTCCGTGCTGTCCCACACACCGTTCCTGTCCTGCTGTCCTTCCAGTCCCTACCTCAGCACAGACGCGCAGGGGTGTCCTTGAGAGTGGGCCTGCTCTTCCGGTGGTCAGCAGGAGGGGATCAGGATGCTGCTGTGTGGGGCCGTGGTGGGGAGGGGCGCGGGGTGCTCTGCCTCCTCCTGGGGGCGCCAGGGAGGCCCTGGCAGGGTGGGCCTCTATGTGCACACTGCACACTGCTGCAGGGCTCAGCTTCAGAGAGAAGACCCAGTGCCTGGAGAGCCAATGTGGCCCTCAGCACCCGCTCCGCAGCAGTTTTCTCCGTGAGGGGGAAGCGCTTGGATCAGGCACGCACATGACATTCCTGTCTAAACGTGTACTCTCAGTTCCATAGAAGTAGCAAACCCTTCCTCTCTATCATTTTTGTTAAAACGCAGGCACGTCCAGCCGTGTGCTTCACTCATTAGGGAAACGGGTTTGCGCTCGTTACTCTGGTGGTTCTCTTGGGTCCGAGCCCATTTGTGGTTAAAATACGCACTTCCTGCCCTGTCTCTGCAATAAGTTGAAAACATGTGAGCGCATCCTCCCTGAATGCCAAGTTGGCCGACCCATGTTGGGGCAGGGACAGCAGGAGTCCGCCCAGCTTGCTGAGGATGCAGGTGCGTCCACGGGCACCAGGGACGAGCAGCCGGCCGAGGCTGAGGCAGGCTGTTTGGTGCTGGGGAGCTGGGTGACTCTCGCTGTGAGGAGGTCCTGTCCTCACCTTCCTCCCGCCCCATGTGTGGGCACCGTGACCCTGAGCCAGCAACATCACCTTCCCCT